CCTCCCGAGCGCCCCTGGCTGCCGCTTTGGGGGCCACCTGGTATTTTCTGTGGTGGTCCTGAGTTGTGTGCTCAGCCTGAGCTGGTGCTCGGGCCAGGGGGGGCGGCAGAGGCCGGGGCGACGACGGGCCCAGCCGTGAGCCCTGCGTGCTCTGCCCTGCCGTGCTGCTGCCCAGGTGGTGGACAGGTCCCAGTTCTGCATGGGCAACGGTGGTGGGAGGGGGGACGTGCTGGCCCAATGCGGTGGCCCCTGGCCACAAGGATAGTGTGGGAGATTTGGGGACTGCCAGATGTGTTTCCACACTCAGGCTCTGCTTTTGCCTGGCGCCCAAGTAGGGGGAGCTTGCTGGCAGTCAAACCCCAAATTAGCAGGTGGCATGCACTCTCCCCACCCCCTCATTTACATTAACGATAATTGATACGGGAACATCTGCGACCATCAGGGGAACTGAGGATGGATGAGGGTTGGTGGCAGTCACATTCGGCAGCAGAGCGCAGGAACATGAGGTCTCGGGCAGAGACAGGACCATGTTTGACACCAGGATTCAGGCTGGCGCGGTGGTGACACGTGGGACACCGTGGCCTAGTCTGCATCCAGCACAGAGGCATTTGCAATGTTGGTGGTGGCTGGACCTCCTTGGGGTGCCCAGGCCCGCCGTGCCCAGGTGTTGGTGCGTCTCTTCCAACCCCCACTCGCCGCGCAGCCGGCGCGTGCTGGCAGCGTGCAGCTCCAGAGCAGCCGCTCAAACAAGTGGTGGAGCGCATGGACTCCTGCGTTTGGTGTGAGGGCTGAGTGGGCAAAGGAGCCCCATTTCCAGCGTGAATCGGGTCCTGCTGTCCCGCATCATTAACTCGCGCACCTTTCTGGGAGCTGCTCAGGCCATGACAGCTTTGTAGGGTGGCAAAGTGGACGCCTGGCCTCACCGCGGCAATGGTGTCGGGAGCACCCACAGCCTCCTACCCCGAACCAGCTCCTGCAGCCCGGCCACGGGGACGTGCATGGGGGCACCTGCTGGGTCTGTCCTTCCTTGTACTTCCTTGCCCTTTCCTATCCCACCCTGAATCCCCTCACTTCCCTCTGCAATACACTCTGTCTTCTCCTGGGCGCAGCTCCTTCTTGCCCAGCCGCTGTGGCCCGAACTCCCTCTTCTTCACCAGGATGCGGCCCACGGCACTGCTTCCCCTGCCGCAGAGCGCCAAGCGCTAATGAGGATGTAAACCCCTGTTATTCCTAAGCCTATTACAAGCTTCAGTGGATTAGATGGCGATATTAGTTGATTGAGATCAAACCAACAGCTAAGTTGTAAGGCTGATGTGCTAACAAACCGTCCCGATGAAAGGGCCCCAAACAGAATTTTGCTTCGAAAACAGGGTGGTTTTTTTTTTCCATAAGAGTTGAAAAGAACCCTGTGGCTTTCTCCCCGGTGTTTATTTCTTCCCCTGTGGATGGGGTTGCGGTGGGTCTGCTTCGGGGCACAAGAACAGGTCAGGGAAATCCCTGCTACACAGGCGGAGGTGCTGAGAGGCCGTGGCTGCAACCCTGCAGGGGGTCCCTGGCACCGCCTGAGAGCTTCCTTCCCCCGGCACAGGGAAAGGGGATCCGGCCACTCGGAGAAGCCCTTTCTCATGCATGTGGAAAACCCATCCCTGTAGGCACCAAATGTAGAGTTGCCTGTGACACTTGCTGATGGACTCCGCTGGGTTCAGAGGGCTCTTGAGGGAACTTGCATGGCAAGCATCTCCTGGAAAACCATCTGTCACTTGGGCAGCTCTTCCATCTTGCTCTTCTAAACACCTCCTACATCCTACAGCAGCGCTGCCTTAAGCCCTTTAGCCCTTGAAACGCTCCGGGTGGGTTCAGCTATGAGCCGGTTTCTCTCTGGGCTCTGCTTGCTGTCGTTGGGTCTCCTGGCTCCCAAGGCTCTTGTATTCCCTAGGGCATTGCCCCCAGCTCGCGGGGTCTCCGTCTCTGCCAACCAGAGGGGCTGGGGGGGGGGGGGGGGCCTCGGGCCT